TCTAATAAATTATTAAACTTATAAATATAGTAAATCTAGTTCTCTGAAATGTTCTAATTCTGTTTACAAACTCAGTCAAAAATCTTGTACCTTTGACTTGAAATCACAAGTCAATTACATATTTTAAATTGAAATTCTAAGGTTAATCTGTCAGACTCCAATGTGCCAATTCCACATCATTACAAACACTTTAAGTACTGAATATACACAGATTGTCTCAATGATTAAAAACCTATTCTTGAACTTGACACAAAAGTATTAATACTTCATCATCTTTATAATTAATTCTAAACCATCCTGGATTTGGAAAGACATTCACCAAGGGCTTATTTTATCATCTCAGATGTGGAATCTGAGGCTTTGTATTGCAGAGTGAGTCTTTTTATCTTCACTGTGGACACCTGCTGTGATAACAAGGCTCCAAGCTTTGTCCTCTACCAAGGTTTATCTCAACAACCCTGCCGCCTGGTGCTGGCAGAGGTAGAGAGGAGCCAGTCTGAGACACTCCCAACCAGTATATGCCTACTTCTTAACACATTGCCTTTTATTTATATATTTCCAGATTAAATGTGAATATCCCTTACACTAGTCCTATCAGTGGGTCTTAATACTTATAGATATTCTAATGATGTTTTTGATTCTCCATATTTCTCATAGTTATAAACAAATACCAATGTGATAAAATATGCTATAAAATCACAAAATATTTTAGTAAGTTCTTTAAAATCTTATTTCAAGAGATTTATTTTATATGTATGAGTGTTTGTCTGCATATATGTATATGCATCATATGTGCATGCATGGGTGGTGTCCCCAGAGGTCAGAAGAGGGTGTTGGGTGCCCAGTCACTGGAATTACAGATGGTTGTGAGCCATCATGTAGGTCTTCTGAAAGAGCAATAAATGTTGTTAAACTACTGAGTCATCTCTCCAGCCCCAAGGTTTAGCAAATAAGTCAACCAAGGCTGAATAGAGAAGAGTATGGAAGACTTCCTTATAATTTCAGTGTACTGATTAAGAATTTCATTTTTCTTTTCAATTAGTTCATTACTGAAATAGTCAAATTTTGAGAAACAGAATTTCTTTTTTCCCTCCCTCCCTCCCTCCCTCCCTCCCTCCCTCCCTTCCTTCTTTTCTTATTTCCTTCCTTTTTTTCTTAATAGGAGCCTTTCTATGTAACCTAGACAGGCCTTAAAAATGATGATACTCTCACATCAATCTTCTGGAGTGTTGGGACTATAAGAGTGTGCCACCATGCCTGGGTCCACACAAATGTCTTTCAAATGACTTTTTAATGATGTGATAACCAAAACAGCAGCAAAGAAAAAGCAGGTCATTAGACTTCATCACAATGGAACCCTCTGTGGATAGACTAGCAAAATAGCTATTTACAGGTGCTCAAGGCCTGCTCCCTTTTCAGTAAGGAAGGCTCACAATAACAAATAAATAGTAACATTTTCAGGTACAGGGGAGGGCACTGGAACCCAGCAAGGGAGAGATGGGAACCATTTAAGGCACACTGGGTTGAGATGACAGTGTACCAGCAGGTGCAACCCCGTTTCCCCAGTCACAAGCCCCCCCCCCCTCTACAGTTGGGAGGATCCTCCATTGCAGGGTGAACCAATGTCATCATCATGTTGCCTAGGACCCTCCCTACTAAAAGAATCCCACAGTCATCACCGGGTTGGAGTGTCCCTTAGGAAGCTACTTGCAGTCTGTACCACAGCTTTGCCTCTGAGAAGAAAGAAGCTTACACAGTCTTCCTAACCCGGAGTGCTCAGCCTGTTGCAGCAAGGCACCATCTTGGGTATAGAACTATGTTACAGACAGGCCACAAGCCACATCCCACCACTCAGTCTCATCTATCATGTGGTCCAGCTATCCTTCTTCAGCCATACATCTGAAGGAAGTGACGTTAGCATGTCCAAGATAGCTGACAAGTGCCATCAACTTAGGTGCCCTCCAGTGGATGAGTGGATGAATAACATGCGGTGTACATGGTATTTGATTCCAACAAAGAAGAAAATTCTGCCATATGTGATGTCATGAATGAAGACAGGCTGTTAAGGGCAATGAGATATGAACAGCAAGACAAATCTAGCATGCTTTACCTCATATGTTGAAACTAAAAAAAAACAGTGAATCAATTTGTGTATATTGATTACTAGAGTCTGTAAGGGTTGGGGCAAGGTGAGAGGTAGATATATAAAGGTTAAAAAAAATACAGTCAGATAAAAGGTAGATCTAGGGTTCAGTAGCACAGAGTGGGGAGTGTATAGTTCTTAAAAGCAGGCAAGTTACTTAAATTTTTTAAATTGAAAATAGATTCTTCTCTCATATAATACATCCTGACCACAGTTTCTTCTCCACCAGTTCTTTCCCCCACCTCCCCTCTCCCCTAGACCCACTTCCCCTCCATTTCTTTTCAGAAAGAAATGAGCCTCCAAGAGACAATGACTAAGCACAACAAAGTAAGATACAATAAAACAAGACAAAAAGCCCTCAAACTGAGGCTGGACAAGGCAACCTAATAAGAGAAAAAGAGTCCCAGGAGCACATGAAAGAGTCAGAGACACATCTACTCCCACTGTTAGGAGTCCCACGAAATGACAAAGCTAACAGGCACAACATATATGTAGAGGACCTGATGCAGTCTCTGTGAGCCCATATGAGCCCTGCTTAGTTGATTCAGTGGGTCACATCTCCTGGTTTGCTCCATCCCCTCTGACTCCCACCTGCTCTTCCTGGGATTCCCTGAGTTTCCAGGGTAAGGTTCTGATGGGATAGAAACCTCCCATTTAGAATCTCTCTTCACATAATGGCTGTGAGTCTTTGCACCCACTCCCATCTGCTGCCGGAGGAAGTCTCTCTAATGACAGCTGAAGAAGGCATCCATCTATGAGTACAGTAGAATATCATTAGGAATTATTTCATTGAATATTTTTCCTTTTGACAGTTGTGTTTGGTTCTACCCTACGTCTCTGGTCCATCTCTTCTCTTGTTCCTGGCCATCCAAGCAGTGTTGGGCATGGGGTTGCCTCTGTTGGCATGGACCTCAAGTTAAACCATACACTGGTTAGCCAGTCCCTCAAGTTCTGTTCCACCATTGCCCTAGCACATCTTTCAGGCAGGACAGATTGTAGGTCAACAGTTTTGTGCCTGGGTTGGTGTTCTGGTTTCCCCTTTTGTAGCCTACAGAGTGTCTTTCTAAACCAAAGAGACTAGAATGTAGAAGTGAAGGCTCCATGCAGGCATCAGCTTGACCTCTCTACATGCAATGAGCTGTGTGGATGTTGTCCTCAGTAATGGGGTCCCATTGTAAGTTTTCAGAGAATGACCCTCTGTCTTAGCACCAGCCTGGGTTGTTTGGGGATCTCCTTGGCCAACAACTTGACCTATTATAACCCTAGCCCACCACTGGAAGCATTGCTTGGTTACAAAAGATGGCCCTTTCAGACTCTGTATCCCCCATTACTAGGAGTCCCCACCAGGGTCCTCTTCACAGATTCACAGGAAGTTTCCACTGCACTAGGCTTCTATGCCTCCCCCAAACGCCCCACCAATTCCAGCTGTCTCTCCTTTCACTTCCTGCCTCTATCCTTCCCTCCCACCTGATTCCTCCAGCTCCTGTCCCCAGCCACCCCCAGGCCACCAACAAAATCTGTTCTATTTCTCCTTCCCAGGGAGATGCATGCATTCCCTCTAGAGTCCCTCTCTTTACCTAACCTCTCTAGGTCTGTGGGTTATGGTTTGATTATCATTTACTTAACGGTTAATAGTCACTTATAGGTGGATGCATTTGTCTTTCTGGGCCTTTTAAAGAACTTTAAAAGAGGGATTTGAAGATTTCAACCATGAAACTGATAAAGAAATGATATGATAATTGCTCTGGTTTTAGCTATGCACTGGTTGAAATATGATGCTATACTCCATGCATATTATTATTATGTTATTATTTTTTGTGAATTATAAAACATTATCAAGAAACTGAACAACAAATTGAAGAATAGAAAGAGTATTTGAAAACTGTTCATATGATAAGCTCATGGAATCAAATGTACATTAACAATAAACTCTTACATTTCTGCAACAGAAAGACAAAAATCCAAACAAAAACAGGGAAAGAATTTGAATGGATATTCTTCCAAAGAACATATACTGATGTCCAACAAGAACATGGAATGTGAAATTAAAACCCTAATGAGCTACCAACTCACATAAACTAGGATGGTTATTAAATAAAATAAATTAACTAGTAGTAACAAGGACATAGAGAAATTAGAATGTCTGTACATTGCCAGTGGGAATCAAAACTGATGTAGCTACTGCAGAAAATAACTGGGCACCACCACCAAAAGAGTTAAATTCATAATTATCATATGACCTTAATTCTGCTTCCATCCCAAAGAATTGAAAGCAGATGTTCAAACAAAATGTTGTTTATGAATATTCATGGAAGCACTATTCACAGTAGATAAAAAGTGGGAACAACTTCATCTCTACTGATGAAAAGATTAAAGAAAAGAGTATGCCCTTATACTGGAGTATTATTCAGCTATCAAAAGGAACGACGCATGCTACAACATGAATTTTGAAATATAGCAAGTGAAAGAATCCAGACACAATGGGAACTAAAGAAATGGTTCAGTGGTACTTGATGCTCTGGTGGAGGACCTGAGTTTACAGTCTCAGAATTCATGTTGGGTGCCTCACAACCCGATCCACAAATCTGATGGCTTCTTCTGCTCTCCAAGGGTGCTGCACACATGTACATGAACACACACACACACACAAACACACACACAAACACACACCACAGTAACACACACACCACAGTCTCACACACACACACCAGAGTCACACATACACACCATAGTCACACACACACCACAGTCTCACATACTTACACACATACACACCATAGTCACACACACACACACACACACACAATTAAAATATAAAAAGAGGAAACCAGACACAAAAGGTCATGTAGGGTATGATTACTGTTTATTAAATATACAGAATAGATAAGTTCATAGGTTCACTTATAAAAGTTTTGCTTTTGGGAGATTTGGGAGGCAGAATGAAGAAGGACTATGTGATGGACACAGGGCTTCGTTTTAGACTTTGAAATGTTTTGAGAGAAGATTAAGATGATATTTACATAAAATTTGACTATATTTAAAGCAGCTGAATTATGTACTTTAAAATGGTTAGTTCGTCTTATGTGAGTCTTCTCTCAATGTTTTAAAAAAAATCTGTTCATTTTTATTTGATGTGTTTGAGTGTTTGCCTACATGTATGCCTGTGCATTCTTTGTGTGTCTGGTACCTAAGGAAGCCAAAAGGGAGTGTTTGGGCTCCTTGAGGCTGGAGCCACAGATGGGTGTAGGCCAGTTTGCAGGAGTTAGGAACTAAACCCACAACCAAGAGCAGCTAGTGCTCTTCACATCTGGGTGATCTCTCTAGCTTTCCCAGACTTTTTATTTAACTGAAAAGGAAAAGACATTTTTTTTAAGTCCTGTATTTTTTTCTTTTTCTTTTTCTTTTTTTCTGCGCCCACTGAGGCTGATATTAAGGATTAAGTGCTGACTATACTCCCCACATTTGTGGGCAGATTTGGCCACTACGTGAAGATATTTTCCCTTGGTAAGTGGTGAATAAAGCTGTGCGGTGTCAACAAGGTCACGTCTTTATAGAAAGAAGCTGGCCCCCGCCCTTCTTAGAAACACGATTGGCAGCGGCAGCTGCAGTGATGACTTCCCGTTCTTTTCTGCTGCCCAAACCCCAGTACCCTTTCTTCCATACAAAGAATTTTACTAAGCACCAAGACACTCAGGACCAAGATGTTAAATTCAGAATAATTCCCGTGTTTACCTCATTCCCACTTTATAAAGTGATCAAAAGAGAATAACACAGTTTCTGCTATTACGCTCCATAAGAATTTACAACAAAACCAGTACCATACCTAGCTTTTGAACAAGTTCCAAAGATAGAAAGAATCATTACCGCCGTTCTGTAGGAAGGAGGCCAGGGACAATAAAACCAGGAAGACTCACTAGATATACGTAGCTAGAAAATGGAGGAGCTAACACTTCTTCCAGAAAGTCTTAACACCCACCTTCCCCTCAGCCAAGAGTTTTAAACTCATAATTTTATATTTTGGCTCACCACCTTAAAAAAAAAAAATCGCCAAGAGAAAGACCTGAAACATTTCATGGTCCCTAACACTCGCAGGAGTCTAAGCACTTCCTAGCTTTCTTCACTGCTGAGGCCGTGTGGCTGCTTCTGGTCTCTGAGCTGTGAGCGGATGTATGCCATTCTTCATCTACAGCTCTTAGAGAAGTGAGGTCTCCAGGCTTTCTCTCCCATCTGCAAACAACAAAGAGGGAACGTTGAGAGACTCAAGATTCAGATGAGCCGTACCTGGATCCCTGAGTGCCTACAAGAGGAACGTTGTCCCCTCCCCGCCCCCTTTACACAAAGGAAAACAAACAAGTGGCCACAAGACCCACCTCAGGCCTGCTGGAGGAACCTTTACTATGTGAAGTCATGGGCTGACTCCATACTAACACATATGCCAGTGTCTTGTGACGAAGATTGCTTCACTATAAATGACAGAAACGGCCGGGTGGTGGTGGCACACGCCTTTAATCCCAGCACTCGGGAGGCAGAGGCAGGCGGATCTCTGTGAGTTCAAGGCCAGCCTGGGCTGCCAAGTGAGCTCCAGGAAAGGCGCAAAGCTACACAGAGAAACCCTGTCTCGAAAAACCAAACCCCCCCCCCCCCAAAAAAAAAAAAAAAAAAGACAGAAACGTTGACATGATGTTTCTAGGGGCCCCCTGGTGTCTCCTTAGTGATTTAATGGTGGGATTGTGCCCTCATGGAGGGATGTGGCAGGTGTAACTAGTTCACATGGGGTCATCAGTGTGGTTACAAATCCAAAAGGAATTTTTATTCTATCAAGAAACTGGACACAGAATGGATACGTAGGAAGAATACTTCTTCAGACTAAGGTAGTGTCTATCAGCAGTGATGATCTTGTCTGAAGACTGGCAGCGCACCAGTACCCAGCTGCAGCCGGGAGGAACACTGCACAGATTCATCCTCGTCCCCTCTGAAGAATCCAGCCCCATCAGCACCTGACCTTTGCACTCCTCGCTTCCAGAACTGTGAGGGAATACATTTCTGTGCCTTGACCTCCGATTTTTCATGGCGACTCTTGCCGACCAACACAGCGACCCCTGTAGGCTGCATATGAGTAGGACAGTTCCAATGCAGTCCTTCCAGGGAAGATACATCAGCACAAGGGTTGTGCCTTAGAAGCTAGGGCTGTCCCAGAACCCCATGGTGTAAAACGGCCCAAGTAAAGCCCAAAGCCAGAAAGAAAATCTTTTTACAGATAAACTCAGGGACGTTTGTGGGGGTGAAGGAGTGTTCGAACAGTGATAGGGTGTGCTCCAATACATGGTACTGAAGATCTTGGGGTCAAGCAAGACAATTTTAAAGTCTGAAATTGAAATTTCTCACTAATAAATTCTTTACCCTGAGAGAAGGGGAGCCTCAGACAAGAGAACTCACTGACCCTGGGAGCTCGTTCCCACACTGAGAGCAAACTCAATCTTCCTGGGCCAGGCAGAGGTCGAGCCCAAATGGAAGTTTCTTTCTCTTTCTGCCCGTGGATTCTGGTTACTTCCCCGCCTGCTGGAGCTACTCAGTTCGCATCTGTAAGTGAGCTCCCTGAAGGACGGAGGAAAGTGGGAGGCTTCCTTCACTTTAGGAACACGAGCTCAAATATTTGTGAGGCTCCTAAAGGGAGGATTCAGGCACAGAAAACATCCTTATGGAGAGATAGTATAGTACCAGAAAGGCCCTGCTATAAACAGCTGCATCTCCCTCTCAGCAGAAATAATTTTTTTGAGTCACTATAACAAATCACCCCAGATAACCCCAAATGACATGTCTTAAATCTGAACAGAGCAAGGCAGACTCTTGCATAATTTGCAATCTCTATTATTTTTCCTACACATACCTTACTTGAGTAGAAGTGGATTAATAACTATGAATCATGGCTGAGCCTGCTATTTATTTACTCAGATGGTTTTAGTTCTCTGAACAGAGAATTTGGGAGAGTGACTTTGATTCCCCTGTCTATGCCTTTCTTCACATACCTCTAGAAAGGTCTGTTTGGTGAACACTGTTAGATATCCAATGTCAGGGGAGTTTATAAACCAATGACTCAGACCCTGCAAGGACTTTCAGGTATATGATATGGACCACAGCTGTTGGCTACAGTCGTAGGGGAAAGGCTCCTGATTTGGACAGAACTTCAGTGCTCACTTCAGGAAGTAGGAAACTGCTGTACACATCTCCCAATGTATGTTTCCTTGTTCAGATCTGAAAATGAGAGTCGTTAACTCTGTGGTAATACAGAGGGTCTCCAAGCTTGAGATCTGCCTGTCAATGTAGAAATCCTCACCCGCCAGTCAGCTCAGACTTAATAGGCAGGTCTGTTCCACTTAGCCCCATAATTTATTGTTCTCTTGTGCTATTCAAAGCATTAGGAGAGGCTGTGGAGATAAAAATCTGAGGCAGAGTCCCCGACCTCTATAAGTTCATAAAGAAGAGAAAACTCTGACAAGCTGGTAATGAACGAAAGCCATAATCCAGCAAGTGTCCTAGTCCAGATTGAATCCATTCCTCAAACATCAAGTTCATTCTTAAAGGACCATGGGAAGACAAGTATGTGAGAAAAATCTGGTAAACTAATTGGGTAGTTTTTATAGAGAAGTTGCAATTTTAGGGCTGAAAGATGGGTCTTTGCTAAGTCCAAGATGGTAGAGTCTTCCAAGATAGGAAGTTTGGGCAAAGGCTGCCAAGTCAGGAAACACGCTCAACTGAAAGCGAGGAGAGAGGGCAAAGAGGAAAGGCCCCATAATACCTGTGGAGCTAAGCAGTAAAGAATGCACTGGAATGTTCCAGAACAAAGAACAGACAAAGAAGAGCAGTGCACATTGATCTCTGCCATGGAACCTACTGTTTACATAGTTGGGGGATCAAAACTGCATGTGAAAGTATGTGTGTGTAAATAAAAAATATTTCACATAAAAATAAAAAGCTCACCAAATTATTTTAGCCTTAAGTAATCAAGCAGATTTCTATAACCTGACAGCTCTTTGAAAAATTTACCAGAAATGCTTAGGTAAAGATCCTCTATCATTGAAACCTGGCTGTTCTCCTTCCCCAACCCACCCAGAAACTACAAATCCCAGCATGCAGTGGTTGTGGTGTCTCATCACAGCAATAGAAACCCTAACTAAGACAGTAGGGCTTTAGGTAGGAAGTCAAGTCAGGAGAGTAGCCCAGTCTTAGCTGAAGCTGATAGCAATGGGTGAAGGTGTGAAGGGTCAGCCACAGTACTTAGTTAAGAGATTAGGAAAACATGAGTCTTAGGTGTTTCACCTTCATGAAAAAAACCCTAACAGCCACTCCCCCATAGTCAAAGGACAGGCACCATTTTACTGTAGCACAGGTCAGTCTACATTGAGGGATATTTTATATCTACTTACTACCCTCAATATGTACTATGGTTGCTATCCTTTATTTATGTCAATCCTTGTAAACACATGCCCACTTTTCAAGTCTCAAGGTAGAAGTTCTTGCCTCTTTGCATTGACAGAGGCCAACACACATGCCCTGCACATAGGCATAGCAGAAAGCTAGTCCTTAATTACTTAAAATGATCTCTTAGAACAATTTTAGTCCCTGTCTTTGCAATGGCAACATCATTATTTCTTGAACACCTGTCTCTGGCCTTATGAATAGCAGTTGGGTCAGCTTCCGTATGTAATGGCTCCCACTCAGGCCATAAAGCTTTGATATATTTAAACCAGTCTTTCACCAAAAGTTAGCAGTAAACAACTGGCCTATAAAGCTTTCTAAGAGACAAGAGAACACCCACTCTGTTGCTATAATTATTACTTCTCTCTTTAGGATGACCCTTGAAGAATAGAATGACAAAGCCGAGATATCACCTTCCTATTTTATTCCATCTGTTTATTTTGTGCAGTAAATTACCAGCTCTGTTTGACACAGGAGTCAAACACTGCTGTGCCTCTTATCTGTAATTTTTGAAAGTGCAGCAAAGTACATAGCGTTTAATTCCAACATAATCAAGAATTTGCTTTCCCTAAACCGCATTTCGTCTCTTTCCCTATCACGTGGCAAGTGGTATTTGAAGCAGTTTGAAGTTGTTGGAGAACGTGCTTACATCAACAAAATTGGCAACTTTATTTCTGCACAGGGGAAAAGGCAGAAAAATGGAAATTCCAGTGAGGTTAATGGGATTCTACCTGTGGCCAATATGTTCTTGTGGTCTGTGATACTATTATTCCAAGGGTGCTTAATTAGGCAATGTACTCACACCAACAGATGCGACAATTCTGAAGACTGAAGGGCAAGTAGCTGGGAGTCTCATGCCAGTTTATGAACCTTAAAACCTTTGTATCTGAAGGAAATGGAACTCTTCTCACTTGTGACCCAGCCTGACAATATCACTGAAGCCATCGTGACTCAGGATCGCATTCAGAGGGTCAAGCCTCTTTCCCAGGGGAGCTGAGGAAATGGAATAACTTATTGTACTCTGAATAGTTATACACTCTGAAATTGTGAGGGATGGTAATTAATTCACACATCTATAAACATCAGCTCTCACTTTTATTCAATGTGAACTTATTTGGTTTGTTCTCTATGGCAGGTATCAGTGTTACAGCTGAGTACTCAAAGATTAATCAGATATAATCTGTCTTAGTTAGGGGTTCTCTTGCTGTAATAAACACTAATACCAAAAGCAGCTTGGAGAGGAAAGGGTTTATTTCAGCTTAGAACTCTCAGGTCACACTTCATCATTGAGGGAAGTCAGGGCAGGAACTCAATCCAGGAATCTGGAGGCAGGAACTGAAACAGAGGCCATGGAGGAGTGCTGTTTACTGGCTTGCACCTGTGGAACCAAAATAAGACCAAAATGCTCTCACCCCAAAACTAAAGGCCTAAGACTGCTCCTTTTAGCTACAGGCCATAAGTTACTGGAACAGGCCAGAAGTTACTGAGACCAGTCAGTTCAGATTCCAGAAACCAGG